CTTAAACTATTCTAGGTTGGTCACTGCCCACATGTCAGCTCATTAATAATATTAGTCATTACTATTTGAGTATTATTTTTTATATAATAATTTTTAGTTTAGCATGTTTATTAATATTGAAATATTATTAATAATTTATGTATGAGAATATTTTGTGTTAATTTGATGCATTTTTTCATAAACATATAATACACTTACTTCTTACTATATATGTTTGAACATCTTACTTTTCATTTCAAAAAATAGTTATGTCATTCACTCACACACCTATAATTTTGATTTCAACTTGCACCGCTCTCAAATTGACACCTCCTATTTTTGTAGGTGGTGAGTGCTGGGAAAAAACTATCCTTTGCAATGAAAAGGTAAATGGTGCAACTGTTTTGAGAAGTAAGTGTATTCTATTAGTATAAAAACATATAAAAATTATCATATGAAAGAGAGTAAACATGAGTGATTGTAATAACAATGGTGGGTATGGTGTGAGTATGGTTTTAGCCTCATAAGCTAAGCTAACAAAGAAGATTTTTTTTTTAACAATAGATAGCTTATATTACCAAAACCAAAGGACAACACTGTTTACATCACAAGGAAAACCACCGCTCAAAATCAAAACTCTCCACACTCGCAGGCAACAAAGAAAGGGTCTTCCTGGCCACCTCATGAGCCACCCGATTGTTACTCCTGCCAACAAAAACAATGTCAAAACTCTGAAAACGCCGCCGGATCCCACCAATATCCTCCAAGATCCTTCCACCGCGCAGGTCCCTCACATCCACTCTCTGAATCTTCTCAATGAAAACCTTAGCATCTCCATAAAACTTCACTTCAGTGAGACCCTTCAAAAAGCACCACTGAATCGCATCACGGAAGGCTACCAATTCCACTAAGAAGGGATCCACAAGACCTGCATAAGAAAAGCCTTTAACAAAACGAACACTACCCATCGCATCTCGAACCACCAACCCCCCCGCACCATGAGACCCCGGCGCCACCGCACCATCCAAAAAACAGGAATACGACATTACACCCGGCCCCTGGCCATAACGACCCCCCCACCCCCCGCCCATCTCCCCACCCAACCGACTCAAATCACGTTGACCCTGAACTGGCTGCACAATCGCTAGCCACTCCCTAACCTGGCTCTCATACTGCTGCACAAGCCGCGGAATAGCAAACTGCACATGATCAAAAACCACCCAATTCCGACTCTTCCAGATTCTCCATAACAGCGCCACAAATCGGACTATTCTCTCGGTACTAGAATCCTGCTCAACAAACCGACGAAAGAACAAAGCAAAATTACTCGCATGAGGAGAACTTACTCCTCCAACAATGCCCGATCTATCCCAGAGAGCCCTAGCCACTGTGCACGAGAGAAACATGTGCTCCAAGGTCTCCATAGTCGCCCAGCACACCGGGCATTGCAGCTTGACCAACTCCCCTTCCTCCGAACCCTCCACTATCACCGCCGACACCTTTCCTTCCTTTTCAACAATCGCCTCCATGGTAGGCAGAATACGTCGAAGCATTTGCCACACAAAAAACTTCAACTTTGGCGGAATGGGGAAATCCCATACCTTTTTCCAAAACCCACTGTCAAAAAAGGAAACCTCATCCTTCCACCCCGGCAATTGGCGACTAAGAGAGAAGGCTAGATGATATCCCGACCTGCCACTATACACCCCATCATTCTCCCGCGACCACACAAGCTTATCCCTCACTGGCTGCACCGGCAATGGGATGGAGCATATTCTAGCAACAACATCCTCATAAAAACATTGCTGCAAGCACTCAAGACACCATCTCCCCGTTCCCGGGATCATTAGCGACTGCACCGTCACAGCCTCCAAATTAGGCGCAGAGGAGCGACATACAATCTCCTCCGGCCTCCACCCCGGGACCCAATTGTCTCCTAACACCTGCACTATAGCCCCATCACCTATCTGCCAAATCAATCCTTGCTTTAGCAAATCCCTCCCATTCAAAATGCTAGTCCACCCCCACGAAGGCCTCGACCCTCGACACGCTTGAAGGATAGCCGAGTTGGCAAAGTACTTGCCTTTCATCACACGAGCCAGGAGAGTCCCCGGCTCTTGTCCGATTCTCCAAGCAACCTTCGCCAACAGGGCCTGATTGAAATTTTCAAACCGTCGAAATCCAAGCCCACCATCGAACTTACTCCTGCAAAGGTTCCTCCAGGACACCCAATGAGCCTTGTCTTTTTCAGTTTAATACCCCCACCAAAATCTAGCCATGTGCTTATCCAGCTTACGGCAAAGCGTCACCGGCAAGAGAAAGCAAGACATAACATAGATGGGTAGGGCAGCCGCCACTGCTTTCAATAGCACCTCCTTCGCTGCCCAAGACAATTGTTTCTGCTTCCAACCTTGAAGCTTAGCTAGCAGGCGTTCCTCCAAATACCTAAAGGTCTCCACTTTAGATCGTTGAACCAACGACGGAAGCCCCAGGTATTTATTCTGAACTCCTATAGCCCCGACACCAAGGATAGCCACCATTTCATCAACATCACTAGGCTCAACATTACGGCTAAAACAAACAGCAGATTTACTCAGATTAACTTTCTGGCCACTCAACTCCTGGTATTGTCCCAATAAAAGCACTAACGTCTCACATTCCTGCTTCGATGCCCTCAAAAACAGGTAAGAGTCATCAGCGAAAAATAAATGGGATATGCTCGGACATCTCGGATTAACTTTAACCCCCGCTAATCTCTTTTCCTCCACTTCCTTGCGTAACAACGCCGCGAATCCTTCAGAGCATATAACAAATAGCAAAGGGGACAACGGATCCCCTTGACGGAGTCCTCTCGTCGAACTAAAGTACCCTACCGGCGTACCATTCATCATTACCGAAAATGTCGCTGTTGACACACATTCCCGAATCCAACCAATCCATTGATCACTGAACCCCATCTTGGTCATAATCACGAATAGGAAATCCCACTCTACTCTATCATAAGCCTTTTCCATGTCGACTTTCAGAGCTAGGTAGCCTTTCTTACCTCGCTTCTTAATCTTAAGATAGTGCATGACCTCATGTCCTATAAGCACATTATCCACAATCTGGCGGCCCCGAATGAATTCATTTTGCTCAGGTGAGATAATGGAGGGCAAAACAACAGCCATCCGCTCCGCCATGATTTTAGAGATAATCTTATAAAACAATTGACACAGGCTGATCGGTCTGATTTGTTTCATATTCTCAACCGCGTCCACCTTGGGGACCAAAGTTAACCAGGTATGATTGAAACTTTTCAGTAATCGTCCTGACCTGAAGAAGGACTGAACCGCCTCCACCACATCCATCCAAATAATGTCCCAGTACGCCCGATGAAATTTACCAGTAAACCTGATAGACCGATAATTACACATGTTTTCACCCCTATTCTTGAGCCGTTTGAGAGGTTGACTCTCGGGTTTTAAGCCGATTTCACGCGAGGTTGTGTGTTTATGTAGTGTTTCAGGACCCGGCGTGGGAATCGAGGCGAAGGAACGAGATTCGGGTCGAAAGGAGCGAGTTAGGCTTGAAGTGTGATGGAGGAAGAAAATACCCGGCCATGACCAGAAATACCCGGCCAGGTATTATTCTGAGGAGAACGGGGGTTTTCCCTTTTGGCGTCCGAGAAACAGAGTGGGTCCCGGTCTGGAAGGCAGAAATCCCCGACCGGGGATTATTGGAGGAGACCGGGTATTTTTCCCCTGGCCAAAACGCACGTTTCAACTATACCCGGTCGAGACCCAAAATACCCGACCGGGTATTTCGACCGGGTATCGCGACAGGCAGCAGTTTTAAGGGAAAAGAAGGCTGGAAATCAAGGGATTCGAGTTTTAGAGAGACAGAACGATTCCTAGAGAGAGAAAGCGACGAACAAGAGTCTCCAAGTGCCCTAGCTTGATCTTCATCACCATTGGAGCTTGGCTTGAGCTTGGAGAAGTGCCGATCAACGTCCAGAAGTGCCGATCAACGTCCATGGAGTAGTTCTCCCATTCATCAGGGTATGGAGAACCCTAGATTTGTATGTTAGGTTTGATTGTATGAACCCAAGTACTGATTCTATGATTTGATTATATTCGATTGAGGTTTGAATGATTGAATGGCATGAATCCTGATCAAATTTCTGTCGTTTCTGCTTTAACCTAGAATGAGAATATCTGCCTAGGTTGATAGAGCATCCTTGATTGAAGGTAGGGAGTTGGTGACTTTAGTCGAGGAGCCAACTCACTATTCTGTACCGGATTCACTTCGGTAGTGGAGGTTTTGTTTGTTAAGGCCTCAATCTGATTACTCCGGTGGAGGTTAGTCGCCCGCTAGAGACTCAGATTGAGAGGGTCTGAAGACCTTTAGTCGAGATTTCAGGCTGTTTAAGAACCTTCCGCAGTATAACTATCATAGAAACTGAACTTGGTAATTACAATCCGGCTTAACTGCAGTCTAGGGGGAACCATATCCGGGTGACCTCTCTTAACCTGAATACAACCGTTTACTTGCTTTGTTTGTTTGTTAGTTTAGACTTGCATTAAAGTTTCATTGCTAGATAACAAGAATTCACCGAGTAGTCATCAAATCTAGGACCCGGGTTGACATTTAAACCCAAACCCGCTATACTACGCTTTAGGAAGTGGTTTCACTTGGCCAATTCCTAGGGTGACAGTAGAAGTGAGTCAAGTTTTTGGCGCCGTTGCCGGGGAATTTCTATAGTATTAGGAAAGGCAGAAGTTTGTTACTTTAGCGTTTTTCTTTTCTTTTCTTTTCCACCCTTGCTTTTCACTTGGGTGTTTTTGTTTTTGTTGGTGCAGATCTGAATCATGGATCCTCATGGCTTCTCCAACAATTGGGGGTATCCACCACCACCCGAGTGGTATTACCCTGAGACTCCCTGGAGCAATCAAGGAGGAGAAGACTATGGATTCGGGTTCCAGTATCAACCCCCTTACTGCGGAGAACAACCGGACCCCTGGGCATATCAAGAACAACCTCATTACCAAGAAGAATTTTTCCCACAACCAGAGGGGCCATTGGAGCTGGAATTACCCATGGCGGCCTTCACGGGCCATTCTGCAGAGCCATGCTACACTCCATAGTCAGATCCACACTATGAATTGAGACTTCTCATGGAGCAGTTTGCTCGAGACTGTGATAGAACATGCTCCAGGATGGATCATTGTGTCCAGGCCTATCGTGAAACAGAGGAGATCCTCCTGAGCCTTAAGAAGAGCGTCGATGATCTTGAGCGATCTTGGGCACAACCTGCTCCAGATCACCCTTCTGCTACCATACTAGAAGAGGAGGAGGAAGAAGAAGGCTACAAGGACATTGTGGAACACACTGAAGTTGTCACGGAGAGCTCCCGTGATGATCATGATCAGGAATGTCCTGTCGAAGCCGACCACCCCTTCCCACATCCCAAACTGAGATTTGAAGAGGTGGGCATGAGTGAGGAGATGCAAGCAGATCTTATGAAAGAAATTGCTTGGCAACTTGCTCTCCAATCCGTGATAGAAGAAGAAGAGCAAGAAAGGGTGCAGAAAGAAGTTGTGGAGGATGAAGAAAGTGAAGCAGAAGGAGTTCTTGATTATTTCCCAGGGGTGATACCACATGAAGAAGAAAGGGAGGTTGAAGAAGCAATTGGCGTCCAGGCTGAGGATGGAGTTAAGGTGGATGAGGCCTGCACCGGCCATGAGTTACATGTGATATCTCCACCAGACTTCGAGGAGCTGCTTCGCAAGGACCCATTTGCAGTGTCTCTTTGCCAGACCAAGGCCACATCGACATCGGTCCCTCTTGGTGGACGCGATGGTGGTAAATCGATGCTGTCATATCTAGTTTGAGGAAATGAGACGAGAGGAGAGAAGAAGAGGTCTCGGGGGTGGAGACTTCATATGTATCAAGCGCACGAGCTTCCATCAGCTGTCATACCACATGCTCGTGACTTGAGACTCCACCTCATTGACGAGAACCTCAACTTCAAGGAGGTTTTGGGGTGGACCAAAACTTAGGAGCCATCGTCTGGCTCACGACGTGAAAGAAGCGCTTGTGGGGAGGCAACCCCACCACAGTTTGACTTTCTTTCTTATGTTTTGTGTCGGATTGTAAACCGGTTTGGTTTTGGTCTGTTTTCTTTTGTTTTGGATGATTTACTATTGGGCTGACCATTGGACCTAACATATTGTGTTTGAGCTCTTTGGTTTCCTTTAGCTGTGCTTGTCTTGACTGGTCCTTTCTCCAGTCCGCTTCACTCCGACTGGTCCGCTTTCAGTCCCCTGCAGTCCGTGCGTACCGGTAACATCGTTCCCCTTTCCCTTCCCTCTTCTCCATTGAGGGCAATGTCGATCTTAAGTGTGGGGGGATGTTTATCTTTTCACTGCACTAGATCTGTTTGTGTGCTTGGAGCCTAGTCCATTGTCCAAATTTTTGAATTTGAGGGCTCCAAGTACGTGTTCCTTGCAATTGCCTGCTCAGTATGCTTTGAATTGACAGTCTTTATAGTAATATGCAACCTAGGGAGGTAGTGTAGCACTATGGAGGATGTTGATGCATTTATGAAGTCTCATTGCTTCTTCATATTGTGTTGGTTGATTGAGTGAATTAGTGATCTTAGGACCCTTAAATTGTGTGGTGTTGTGGATTCTCTACATGTCATGGACTCTTGTATAATGTTTTGAGTTTAACAGGTGCTCGAAAATGTGCTTTAAAATAATGTCTCCCGTGCGAATAGGGTGAAAGTGTGTAAGGGGAGACGGGAATTCGTTCCCAATTTCCACCTACTACCTCCAGCCCCCTTGCATGTATTTCCCCCGCACGAGGCTCGAGACATCCGCTCCTGGCATGGCCGGTAAGAGCCGGGCTCCCGCAAAACCTCTGCTAGGTGGGAGCCCCCATTTTCTGAAAAAGCAGGTTGGGACCCTTGAAAAAAAAAGGAAAAAATAACAGAACACAAGCAAAACAGAAAGAAAAGGGGTTCCAACCATCTTCAAGAAGAAAATAGAGCACCGTGAAAAATGTGAGTCCATGATCCTTTGTTTTTGAGAATTTCTTTATGCACGATTCATTTGTCCTCTGTTCACTATTTGCCATGATGCCGACTCGAGACTAGCGTTCTGGCCGAAGAAGCTATGAGATGACTTGTGCGTCGGTTGACCTCGTAAGCTGCTAAATGATCTAGGAAATCCTCTACCTATGATCTGGGTTGTTTGTTGCTATAGAGGTCTGGAGAGTTGCATTGGTTTGAGTTAGGTTTGCTTGGGGACAAGCAAACGGTTAAGTGTGGGGGAGTTTGATATACCGATAATTACACATGTTTTCACCCCTATTCTTGAGCCGTTTGAGAGGTTGACTCTCGGGTTTTAAGCGGATTTCACGCGAGGTTGTGTGTTTATGTCGTGTTTCAGGACCCGGCATGGGAATCGAGGCGAAGGAACGAGATTCGGGTCGAAAGGAGCGAGTTAGGCTTGAAGTGTGGTGGAGGAAGAAAATACCCGGCCATGACCAAAAATACCCGGCCGGGTATTATTATAAGGAGACCAGGGGTTTTCCCTTTTGGCGTCCGAGAAACAGAGAGGGTCCCGGTCTGGAAGGCAGAAATCCCCGACCGGGGATTATTGGAGGAGACCGGGTATTTTTCCCCTGGCCAAAACGCGCGTTTCAACTATACCCTGTCGAGAACCAAAATACCCGACCGGGTATTTCGACCGGGTATCGCGACAGGCAGCAGTTTTAAGGGAAAAGAAGGCTGAAAATCAAGGGATTCGAGTTTTAGAGAGACAGAACGATTCCTAGAGAGAGAAAGCGACGAACAAGAGTCTCCAAGTGCCCTAGCTTGATCTTCATCACCATTGGAGCTTGGCTTGAGCTTGGAGAAGTGCCGATCAACGTCCAGGAGCAGGAATCCATCCTTCACAGTATGAATTCCGCGTCTGATTCTGCTTTTGCTTCTTTCTCCATGGAGTAGTTCTCCCATTCATCTGGGTATGGAGAACACTAGATTTGTATGTTAGGTTTGATTGTATGAACCCAAGTACTGATTCTATGATTTGATTATATTCGATTGAGGTTTGAATGATTGAATGGCATGAATCCTGATCAAATTCCTGTCGTTTATGCTTTAACCTAGAATGAGAATATCTGCCTAGGTTGATAGAGCATCCTTGATTGAAGGTAGGGAGTTGGTGACTTTAGTCGAGGAGCCAACTCACTATTCTGTACCGGATTCACTTCGGTAGTGGAGGTTTTGTTTGTTAAGGCCTCAATCTGTTTACTCTGGTGGAGGTTAGTCGCCCGCTAGAGACTCAGATTGAGAGGGTCTGAAGACCTTTAGTCGAGACTTCAGGATGTTTAAGAACCTTCCGCAGTATAACTATCATAGAAACTGAACTTGGTAATTGCAATCCGGCTTAACTGCAGTCTAGGGGGAACCATATCCGGGTGACCTCTCTTAACTTGAATACAACCGTTTACTTGCTTTGTTAGTTTAGACTTTCATTAAAGTTTCATTGCTAGATAACAAGAATTCACCGAGTAGTCATCAAATCTAGGACCCGGGTTGACATTTAAACCCAAACCCGCTATATACGCTTTAGGAAGTGGTTTCACTTGGCCAATTCCTAGGGTTACAGTACAAGTGAGTCAAAACCCATCTGATCCCGGTGCTTGGGTTGCCCCGATCGAAAACACTGCCCGTCTAATCTCATTTGCAGTGACATCAGCAGTCAAAGCCCCGTTCATCTCATCAGAGACCCTCCCATGAACCTGCAGGCCATCCACCTTCTCCTCCCAATCCGGAGACTGTCTAAGATATAAGATATAGGGAAGAAGAAAAAAATATCTTTTTTTCCTTCCTATTCTTCTTTCTGAAAAAAAAAGGATTATTTCGTTCCTGATAGTTATTTCTTTAATCGGTGGGTGGGAGCATACTCTGAATCAGAATCATGGGGAGTACTGCTCGATCATTTCGACCAATTTAAAGCCCCAATAAATATTCTTTTATGCAGAATTTTTTTTGATAATTTAGAAATTCTCTCTTACTAATCCTTTGTGTATCTTGCTGTTCCTAACCATCTACTCATATTTGCGCACGCACTCTTTAGCATTAGGGTAATACATCTAAATAATAGTGAAAACTAAATACTAAATAATGGTCTTTTAAACCCGCTTCAAAGAAGATATAAGATAGTGAAGGTAACTTAAGGCAATATAAAGTTGAAATGCAATTGAGTGGCCACCCAAATCCAAATCTAATTCCTTTACATCAATTCTCCCTTCATTCTTTCAATTTTCCCTCTTGTTAACAAGATAATTATGTTAGTTAAGTATTACATAGTAGATGTATCAGAGTTACAAACTAATGATTTGGAAAATATTATACTTTATCTTATTGATTAATATTAGTTAGGATCATACGATTTTAATCCAAGGCAAGCCCAAAGGGCATGGGACAAAGACTCGACACGATTACAAGACCAACTCAAATACTGGATGTTAGTCCTTATGCAACCAGACTACCGATGAAAGAGCCTGTTAAGCCACTACTTGGGCAGCTCTGAAGAAGCTCCGAGGAGCAAAGACACGAAACTGACGGGAAAAACAAAAACACAACATCTCCAAGATAGTCCCGCCAGCGAGTGTAGTTTCCTTCGACGGAGTATGTCGGATGACCGGTAACGAGTTATCACAAAAGTCACAACACAGAAAAGAAAATTACATTAGCAATCTTCGACAAAACATTACTTAATTACTCTCGTAAATTTATAAAAGAGAATGAAATTGAACTATACCTGATATATTGATGAACTTTATTTCACTTACTTCAATTACTTTCATATCATATGAGCATCTGCAAAATGGCAAACCAAAAATACACGACTATTGTGCTACAAGATATTAAATTCACGAAAGTCGTTTAAATTCAAGAAATATATTGAAACCCTAAACTAGTGAAAATAAACGTAAATCTACAAGAAAATCAATGATGTCATTGAAATTGGGATATAAATTAATTATAGAACAATTAATGCATACCTCCCTATATATGCATTGCCAGTAAAAGGAATTAAACAAATAACTAACACAATTGGAAAGAATGCTCTCAAACGCTCTGAACGAAAACCCTCTCACGGCGCCGACCCTGTTCCCTTCGGATCGGCCGCCGGACACTGCTATCTCCATTGGTGACCCCTCTCCCTGCTCCAATCTTGAAAAGGCGATCATCTCCGACACTGACATGATTGTCGAGTCACCTGAGGCACAGCCACAACCGACTCCAGTTCCGGAGATCTCTCTCGCCGCCCAGATACCTCAGTCGGGCGATCCCCTGCCTCTAATCTCATATGCTGCAGCGGTTACGTGGCTTAAAAGCCCTATCGCTTCACAACCGGCGACTAACCTCTGGACCCCGGTGGGCGAGAACGATCTCATCCCGGGGGAGCAGAATGGAGAACCGGCACTGAAAATCTCGACGGAGTTCAAGAATCGGATATGTGCACCATGGCAAAGAGCTCTCGTCGTAAGGCTTCTGTAGCGTCCCGGAGTGATAGTGGATCAAGTCTTGGCGATTAAGTATCAACTATTGGAAATTGAAGAGATGAGTAGAGGGGTTTGAGAAGAGAAGTGAGAATTGAAGAAGAAGATTAGAAGAAGGGGAAGAACAGAGACAAAGCAGAGGAAGGGAAGAAGTAGGGAAACAGTTCTGGTAAATTCTTATTCGATAACCAGTTCAGTACACAGCTTACCTATTTATATGACTTGCTCAATTACAAAGCTGTCCCCAAACTTATACATTTTACCATTCACTCCTAATCGTTACAATCCCGACCCCTTGAAAACAGCCTTGTCCTCAAGGCTAGAGAACAAAAGGAGACAACATAAACCAAAGCAATGCGAACAACAAGTAACCGAGCTGAAAAACTATTATAGAAGACAGGTTGCCACCTGTGGCAGAAGAAAACATCGACTGTAGACTGGAGTTGCGCCATCTTGTAGCTCAAAGAAGTGATAATGAGCACCCAGCAGAATGGACTCTACACCACTGCTTTACCAATATAGTAGTTATTCATCTCTTACAACAAGCACCATTACTGTCGAACTCCTCAAGAATGGAAACCACAAGCAAATGCAGCTTATGCAACCCAGGAGAATTAACAAAAGTGCAGCAGTACACCACACCACCAAGCTCTTAAGCATCACCACAATCATCTCCAGTCCTTTACAGCCCTTGAACCGCCAAGTAACCATAAGTGCAGTACCATAGAGTTTCACCCCGACAACAGTTAGAACTACAACCAACCAGCACTCTTTATAAGGCTCCTTAAAGTTGGAGTTGGACCCCTTCCATGACCTTGAACACCAACAATATCATTGCAAAAATGCACTCCACACAATGCATATGCAGCACCAACAATCGACACAGGTTCATGATAGCAATTAAATTTCCAGCCATGTTGAAAATCCGGATCAAACAGCTCCATGCCAACACTGACCCCTGGAGCATCATCTTTATATGGTTCTTTGATATCAGGACTACTACCCCTGCCACCAGAAATTACCCAAACACCATAATAAGTGGGATAAACCCGATACTCATAATTCCAGCTGCCATGCTTTAGTTTTTCCCTGCAACCCACTGATTCAGGCACGAAACCATACCCCTTATTGGAGTTGCAGTAGTTCACAACGACATCCAGAGTCCTAAAATCAACATCACTTGGACAAAAAAATGAAATCAATGGTTTGCCCAGCAATAGCCTTAGCATTGGCAGCCAAATGAGAGATTGACTGCATAGTGAAACTGCCATTTATATTCAGTAACTTGAACTCTGGTTTCTGAACCACATCTGTAGCTAATATATGAGCTTTTGCCATCAGTACCTCACCTTCAGCCTTGAGTTCTTTTTTTGGCCAAGTTAGACCTTTTCAGGTTCGATTCTGATTCCATGCTACTGGGAGACGCTTCAGTTGTTATGTCAATTCCCATTGTGTCCAAGACTGCAAGGTACGGAGTTGTGTCCTTATGCTCATCATACTCATCGTCTTTCCCCATTTTTGCTACAGCTAAACAATCACCAAAAACATCTGCACTTGTCATACCCGATGCTGCTTTATCAGGAGTATCCAAAGCCTGTTCTCTCGTGCTAACAGGGGAAGTCAATACATCTCCATCTACACTCCTCAAATGATTCTTCCTTTTGCTGGCGTCAATGGCAACTTCCTCCAATCGAGCTTGCTGATAAGCTTCAGCTAATGTTTGGGGCTGCAGCATCTGAACCACCCACTTCAAGTCTCCTTTCAACCCGCTAATAAACCTCAAAATGAAATACTCTTCATCCAGGATACAATTAAATCTAACCACCCGAGATCTTAGTTCTTCAAACTTTTCCTAGTATTCCAACAATGAGCCTCTTTGCCGCAACTTGTTGAATTCACCAAGTGTTCCACTAAATGATCCATTAGCAAAATGTTTACATAGGGCAGCTACAAACTCACCCCAAACCAGCTCCTTACGGCCATATCTCCACCCCACAAACCAGGTTTCTGGCCTGTGTTCAAAGTACCTTGCCGCCAGCAAAACTCGATGTTCATTCGGAGGGCTATACTTCTCGAACACCCTTTCACACTGACTAACCCATTCCCGTGGATTATTACCAGAGAAGAGAGGAATACCTGAGACGAATTTCGGTGCGGCATTTTGTCGAACAGGTGGAGGAAGGCTTTCTGGGATCTTCAATGCGTCACCACCAGCTGGAAAGTCTCCATGGAAGACTGAGAAATAACCCTCCGGCTGACCTGCTCCACACAAGAAAGGGATACCTGAGTCAACGTCCACTCCGATCGACGTCTCTCTCCGCAAACAGTGAAGGCTCTAGGTTGCCGAGGAGATCACCATTGGTGTTGGATGGAGAAAGAGTATCGAGATATATCTGGCAGATGCGGAGTTGGTCGACGTAAGTCCGAGAAAGAGGCGATTCCCGTAGCTGTCCGTCGAATCTGCTGCACGAGATCATGCATCGCAAAAACGCCACTTCTGAAACCGCGAGAGATGCTCGAAGCGTCGGTGCAGTCGTCGGATCAACAATGACGGCTAACCGGTCTTCTATCGTCCGCATCGACGGAACCATGGTTGTCATTGTGCTAAGAAGAGGCTCTGATACCAATTTGTAGCGTCCCGGAGTGATACTGGATCAAGTCTTGGCGATTGAGTATCAACAATTGGAAATTGAAGAGATGAGTAGAGGAGTTTGAGAAGAGAAGTGAGAATTGAAGAAGAAGATTAGAAGAAGGGGAAGAACAGAGACAGAGCAGAGGAAGGGAAGAAGTAGGGAAACAATTCTGGTAAATTCTTATTCGATAACCAGTTCAGTACACAGCTTACCTATTTATATGACTTGCTCAATTACAAAGCAGTCCCCAAACTTATACATTTTACCATTCACTCCTAATCGTTACAGCTTCTTGGCTGCAAGATTGGATTTTCCACTCTTTGCTCACGGTTACGCTCTCTTTGGCGGCTAGTTGGCTCCATGGAAGTCATGGATCTAGATTTCGATTGCTTCTTGGTGAAACTCGACAATGAGCAGGATTACTTCTGCGCGCTGACTGACGGACCGTGGGTGATCTTTGATCACTACCTTGTGGTCCAACAATGGACCCCCAAGTTCATGGTGTCAGATCCGCTGCCAAAGAAGATGATTGTTTGGGTTCAATTGCCGGCTCTAAAAGTCCATTTTTATCACAAGGAGGTCTTGATCACCCTCGGCAACTTGATTGGTCGCACGATTAAGTTGGACTTTCATACTTTAAACCGAAAACGTGCTAAGTTTGCCCGATTGGCGTTAGAAGTTGATTTGGGAAAACATCTTGTTCCGAGAATATGGTTAGATGAAGAATGGCAGAAGGTGGAATATGAAAACCTTCCGACGGTGTGCTTTAAATGCGGCAAAATCGGGCATATGTCGACAAAGTGTCCACAACTGCTTCCTCCGGTTGCTCCAGCGATCGGTTGGGCGTCAGGAGGGGCGGCGGCGGCTAGCACGCCGGCGACGGATCCAGAGGAGCACCCAGGTTTCGGACCATGGATGCTGGTCAGCCGGAAAAGCAGGCGTGATCCTCGTTTGGGTACTGTTAAGGGAAAGTCGAATCTGGGAAATGGTGGGGGGATTCCTACACCTGCGATAAAAAAAGGAAAGGAAGGGGCGATATCAAAGGAGACCGACCATCAGGCTAATAGGGGCAAGTCATCCCCTATTTTGAAGCCCCAAGAAGGGAAAGGAGGCAACGGGAAGAAAAGTGGGGAAGAGGTGAGGAAAGGTAAAGAGAAGGCGACTCTTATTCCCGCCGGGACGGACAAGGGCCTCCTTGGGCCAGGGCCGAATAATCAAAACATGCCGGGCCTTGGTGTTAAGCCCACGAAAGCCTTCAATATAGCCTCATCGTCAACCAACCCCACTAGCCCCCCAGGACCCTCTAAGTCTGGCCCATTAAAGAGTAGGGAGACTGTTAGATCCTCAGTCCCAATGCCAGCCTCGGCCACCAGCTCAATTCCCCAGCCTGTCCATGTGATTAGCGGCCCAAATGGGACCACAATGCAGATTGTGGAAGTTCGATTGCATGAGTAGAAGAGTCGGGACTCCATAGTGACAATTACTCCTTCAACGCGAGCAAGAACGAAGAAATCCAAATCCGGGAAGAAAACTTCAAATATGGTCGCCCATGAAGGACAAGAGATTAAAATCCAAGTCCCGCGTTGCCTCGCTTACCCTTCAAGAGATCACCGCTTGGACAGAGGCGAAAGCTCAGAGACCCACCGAGTGGGCAGCTGCGGATAAGCTTAAAGAGATAGCGCCTGGCCAGGACGAGGAGACGACCTCCTCAGTTCCGCACGCCTAGCGTTTCCCTTTCTCTTTTCTCTCCATTCTTCCTTTCTTTTTCGCTTATCTATGTCTATGTCTTACAACCAGAACATCAAAATTTTTGTTTGGAATGTGGGTGGTGCAAGTAGCAAACCCTTTGCCCGAGCTTTGAGACTGGTGCTTCAGCAGCATCGGCCGGATTTTGTGATCCTCCTCGAGCCACAGATCAGTGGGGAGAACGCCAATTCAGTTTGTGATAAGCTGGGGTATCCTAATTCGATCAGGGTGGAAGCGGATGGTCGCAAGGGTGGGATTTGGATCTTTTGGGATGCTTGGCTGTTTTCGGCTAACATTGTTTCTGCTTGCAGCCAGCATATTTCACTGCAAATCTCGAGTGGTGGTGGCGCTCCTTGGATTCTGACGGCAGTGTACGCCTCCCCTCGTAGCGGTCTGCAGAAAGGCCTATGGGAGTGTTTGATCGAGCAGAGCAAGAGGATCGATATTCCTTGGATCTTGTTAGGGGATTTCAATGCAATTAGGTCTCCCGACGAGAAGTCTGGCCCTTCTTCTAGCCATACCAATCACCGTTGTCGACTTTTCAATGACAGGATCAACCTGGCTGAACTCGTCGATCTGGGTTTCTCCGGTCCCAAGTACACCTGGACGAGAGGCGAGCAGAACAACTCTTACAAAGCCAGCCGTTTGGATAGAAGTCTCTGCAACCTGCATTGGAACACCTCTTTCCCCAATACGTCTGTAGTCCTTCTCCCTCGGCTTCAGCCAGATCACAGTCCCATCCTGACTTCGGTCACCAGTCAGGGAAGTTCCCCTGCTATCCCCCGTCCTTTCAAATTCGAGGCGGCTTGGTTCTCCCACTCTAATATGCAGAATTTTGTTACAGAATCTTGGGATCAGAGTGTGCCTCTTCATAATGCCCTCTCTTTGCTTGCAGGCAAACTTCAAGAGTGGAACAAGAGTGTCTTTGGAAATTTTCAGCAGAAAAAGCGGAGACTTCTAGCTCGCCTGCAGGGAATCGAAGCTCTCCAGGCTTTGTCTTTCTCGCCGGGCCTGGCTAAACTTCACTCAAAGTTGGAGAAGGAGCTTGACAAGGTTATGGAACAAGAAGAGTTTCTCTGGTTTCAAAGAGTTAGAGAGAGTTGGGTCAAGTTCGGGGAGCACAACACTTCATACTTCCACCAGCAGGTTAATATAAGAAGGAGACGCAATAAAATCGAGGCTCTGCAGGATGCGAATGGAGCTTGGGTAACCGACCCCTAGGAGCTAGCTGCTTTAGTTTTTGGCTTTTTTGCTAACCTCATTTGCAGGATGAGACCGAGTACGAAGACCGGATGCCCAAGAACTCTTTTCCCCGTATCAGTCAGACAGAGCTAATGATGCTGCTTCGGCGCTTCAATATTCAGGACATCCATAAAGCTTTGTTTGACATGAAACCCTTCCAAGCCCCGGGTCCGGACGGGTTCCAGGCAGTTTTCTATCAGCAGCTGTGGAAGATCGTGGGCAAGAGCCTTTCTGATATGGCGGTTAACTTCTTTTCGACAGGAGTCTTGCCGGAAGCGGTGACGGAGTCCACTTTGGTTCTGATACCCAAAGTGGAGAGACCGGAGTTTGTGAGCCAGCTCAGACCGATCTCCCTTAACAATGTCAGCTTAAAGGTGATCACCAAGGCTCTAACCAGTAGGTTGAAACCACTCATGAGGAAGCTCATATCCCCGCGCCAAAGCAGTTTCATCCCGGGAAGACAGACAACTGACAACATCATAGTGGTTCAAGAGGTCCTTCACTTGATGCACAAGAAGAAAGCCAGGAAGGGAGGGATTGTTCTTAAGGTTGACCTTGAGAAAGCCTATGACAGACTGAGATGAGATTTCCTTAGAGACACTCTTAAGGAGGTGGGACTCCCCAGCTCGTGGATAAGCGACATCATGCATTGTGTTGAGCAAAACAGGATGCGCATTCTGTGGAACGGCCAGCTCTCTCAACCTATCGCCCCTTCAAGGGGCGTCCTCCAGGGAGATCCTCTTTCTCCTTATCTCTTTGTCCTTTGCATGGAACGATTATCTCATTTGATTGATGAAATTGTTGCTAATGGCAGATGGAAAGCTCTTAGACTATCACAGAATGGCCCGCCTCTCACTCATCTCTTTTTTGCAGACGACCTTCTTTTGTTTGCAGAGGCTGAGACTAGGAAAATCAAGATTATCAAGGATTGCTTGGATTAGTTCTGTTTTAGCTCCGTCCAAAGAGTAAACTACCACAAGTCCATCTTGTATGTTTCCCCAAACATCAATAGGCGGAAAGCTAACCACCTGAGCTAGAAGACTGGGATTCCTCTCAAGGCGTACTTGGGGAAGTACCTGGGCATTCCTGTGATCCATGGAAGAGTGACCAAGGAGAGATATCAACCCCTGTTGCTTCGCATCCAGAAGAAGTTGGCTCCATGGAAGGCAAAGCGCCTGTCTTTCGCGGCGCGCCTTACTGTGGTGAAATCGGTTTCGTCCTCCATTCATGTTTATAATATGAATACCGAGCTAATTCCGGTTGGTGTTTGCCACAGTATTGATAAATTGAACAGGGACTTTGGGTGGGCCGAAGAGGAGAACAAGTCGAGAATGCATCTGGTGGCATGGGAGAAAATGACGATGCCTAAATGTCAAGGAGGAGTGGGGATCCGGCCTACACGTCTCTCTAATCTGTCTAAGCTGGCCAAAGGGGGGTGGCGCCCTATCAAGGAGAAAGAGACTCTCTGTGCCCAGATCATGCGTTCCAAGTACGGCCGTCAAAGAGAAAACCTGGAGATCCTTCGCCCATCTCAGGGAAGCTCCTTTACATGGCACAGCTTTACCAAAGCTGCTCATCTTTTGCGGAAAGGCAGTGCTTGGAACATTTAGAATAGGAAGTCTACTAAATTTTGGTTGGATCCGTGGGTTTTGCAGGGAGCTCTCAAGGAGGTGGCGTTGGACCAAATTCCGGGGGACCTGGAGCAAGCCACGATTGCGGACCTCGTGACGGAGGACGGGAGCTGGTGTACGGAGCTGTTTGAGGATCTGTTGCCGGTTGATGTTTACCAGAAGATTCTGAGCGTTGCCGTAGATACTCTAGCTCCGGATGAGGACACTCTTTTCTGGACAGCCTCTTCGGATGGGAGGTTTTCCACTAAGACTGCCTACAGTCTCCAGTCTCCTCAACCAGCACTCTCAAGACCCGGATGAGAGGCTTTGGAAGGCGATATGAGGCTCCCAGTCCCGGAA